CTGCAGTATTTTGCTTTTGAATTTGAGCTCTTTTGGATTGAGGGATACATCAGTCCCAAAGTACTCCTGAATAAATTGGCTGTGAACTTTTGACACAGACATGAAGGAGCAATTAATTGAGTTATTAGTGCCAAGGTAGTTTTGATGGGCATGGATTGAAAGTAAGGTTCATAGAAGTTTGAGAGGGATCAGGTGAACTTATGATAGATTAGAATCGAAGGATAATAGAATAATATGCATGATAAAAGTCACAGGAAAGCTGTTATGTATTTTTTTAGTGATCAGGCAAAAAAGCCAAGGTTGTGAGTGGAAGAGTTCTTCTCAAAGATGCCTGAGGGAAATCAGTAAGGACGATGAGAACTTGAAGCAAAGGTTCCTATCACCAAGACAGTTAAATTGTTTAGGTTGGAGCAACATAAGATAGTTAATAAAATGAACTGTATTGTATTGTAATAAGTAATTTCATAGAATTAGAGAATTTACAGGACAGAAACATGCCACTTAGTCTAACCAATCCATACAGGTGTTTATGCTCTAGAATAGAATAGAATCCACTGTTCTTCATCTAGTCATTTCTTTCTCCTCCTTTCTCCTTTATTTATGTTCTTGCTTCCTTAGAATGCTATTTACTTCAACCACTCCATGGCAACAAACCCCAAATTCTGACTACTTTCTTTTTAAGTGTGTAAAATGGAAAAGGGCAAAATGCTCAAAAGAGGACTCAATTGACTGCAAGACATAGTAGTGGAAAGCAAAGCTTTCATTTGGAAATGAGATGTTGGGATCCATATTGTTGCATTAAAATGTCAAAATAAATTATGCTGAGTGTCAGGGGTCTTAAGTGAAGGCAAATTAATGAGAGAGTCCTTAGCAGAAGAGGTAGTTGGGACAGAAAAGAGGTTACATGATCTTCCAAAGAGCAGAGAATGGACAAACTGATGTTTTGCTCCAGTACAGCAAAGGGAAGGAGTGGGACAGCTTAAGAGGGATTCAAACTTGAGATGGTGGGAGAGAAAGAAGCAACAGAACACTTAAAGGTGAAGGGAACCATGATTCTTTGGAATGGTGATAAATTGTGGCATAGTCAGTTCACAGTGAAGAGATCACACTCCAAAACAAAAAGGACTGTTGGGGTCTGGAGTAACATACTGTGCACATAAGTAAGGAAAGAAAGAATAGTCTTTAATGTAACTCTTGTCTGAAAAAAAATTCCAATTCTGCATTGAAATAATATATGGACTTTTATTGCTCCAAAATTCCTTAAATACAATCAAGAAATTCATTACATTTCTGATTTGAACCACTCTGTCTTCAATCTTTATGGAAATTAAAGTCTTTCATTAAAAGAACTGCTTTTGCTGCAAGCCACCTCTAATTTCTATATTAATGTATTCTGCCACTTAACTGCTGCTATCAAGTACTTGCAGTGGCACGGTGGCTCACTGGTTAGCATTGCTGCCTCACAGTGCCAGGGACGTGAGTTCAATTCCACCCTTGGGTGACTGTCTGTGTGGAGTTTGCACATTCTCCCTATGTCTGTGTGGGTTTCCTCTGGGTGCTCTGGTTTCCTCTCACAGTCCAAAGATGTGCAGGCTAGGTGGATTGGCCATGCTAAATTGTCTGTAGTGTTCAGGGATGCATAGATTAGGTGGGTTATGAGGGATGTGTCTGGGTGGGTTGCTTTGAGGGGAGGTGTGGACTTGTTGGGCTCAAGAGCTTGTTTCCATACTGTAGGGATTCTATGATTCTAACTTCCGTGTTACAGCTTTGTCCTTTTTTTCAGTTTCTCAACTCTAACCATTGATTTTCTGATGGCTGTTTTCCCTTACCTATATCCTCTTGTATTAAGATTGTAATGGTATCTTTACTGCAACGTCCTCTCCTTTCTAAAGACCTTAATTTGGAATATTTCATTCTCAATTATAACTTATAACTCTCTCTGTCATGGCAATGCCCTCTAAGTACCTCTAATTCACTCACTCATGTTTGTACATTTCTCTTATGCTGCCTTTTTAACATGCTATATTTCTTATTTGTACTGAAGCTAATTTAGTTATTTCAGAACTGCTTTCATCTGAAATTATTATATCGCTTGTGTGCATCAGCTTTGTAAACTGAACTTTTTTTGAACTGTCTATTAATATTGTTTTTGACTAAGTTCAACCTCCACCATACAGAAATTCCTTCCCTCCATGATGAGTCCAACTATTTGGAACTTGGACTCCAGCTCATGAATTTTGAGACTGGGTGTTTTAAGGCAGAAATATGACCTGCAGATGTGGCAAACCAGATGACTTTAATGTCCAGACATTTCAGACACATTGAACCCTTGAGAAGGAAAATAGAATAGTCACACAGAAAGAAACCAATTGTCAGTGCCAGCCAGGGTAGAGATGATAGGATGTTTTCTCCACCCTCTTTCTTACTCTCCCCTTCCTCTCTTTCTACCTCCCTCCACCCTTACTTCACACTTTTCTTCATTAATTTTTATTTGCCATCTTTAAGTCTGCCAAGGCTCTCTTGAAGTCTACACACATTTCAGTTCCACAATTGGTCTATGTTTTGTCTTCAACTTCCAATACTGTCATTAATGTGTATCAAGCAAAGCAGTAATCCTCATACTTGAGGGAATGCCACTATATATCATTCATGCCGAAAAACAACCATTCATTGCAATTCCTTGTCACTTAGTAACCATACTGCCATGGTCCATTTTAATCCTTAAGCTTCATGTTTGCTGGCAAATCTATAAGTGACGCTTTATCAATTGTCTTTTGGAGGTCTATATGTATCGTACTATCCTTATTCAAGTGATAGAAGGTGTCAAGAACAGTGTTATCAAGCAGCATTTGCTTATCAAGAACCTGCTCACTGACATCTAGTTTGAATTCTTCCAGAGCCACTTAGCTCCTGACCTCGTTACACTCTTGGTTCATGCATGGGGAAAAAGAGCTGCATTCCAGAAGTGAAGTGAGAGTGATTGCTCTTGACATCAAAGCTACATTTGTCAAAATATGGTATCAACTGAATCTCCATGGGCTGGTTTCATGCAAAGGAAGATGGTTGTGGTTATTGAAGGCCAGTCATCTCAGTCTCAACATATTTGCAGGAGTCCTTCAAGATTGATTGCTAATCAGCTTGTTTAGAGATGTTATTACACATCACTAGAATAGGTGATACTTGAACCCAGCCTCCTGGCTCTGAGGTCAGAACACTAATCCTGCAAGGACCCTTAGCATTCCTCAGGGTAGTGTCCTAGGCCCAGTCATCTTCAGCTGCTTCATCCATGACCTTCTCTCCTTCATTAGGTTATAAGTAGGGATGTTTGCAGCTGATTGTACAGTGTTCAGCAGTATTCATGACTGCTTAGACAGTGAAACAGTTCATGTCCAATGGCAGAAAGACTTGGATTAAATCCTTAAGTTCATGTTTGGCCTGAAAAGTGGCAAGTAACACTCTCACCACACAAATGCCAACTAATGATCATCTCCGATAAGGGACAATCTAACCATCATCCATTGACATTCAGTGACATTACTGTTACTGAATTCCCCACTATCAGCACCCTGGGGGTTACCATTGACAAAAAAATCAACTGGATTGATCTTTAGAAATATAATGGCTAGGAATTCAGCAATGAATAATTCACCTGATTTCCAAAGCCAGTTCACAAAGCATAAGTTAGGTGTAGAATACACCCTTTGCCAGGATGAGTGCAGTACCTGGAATGTTTGGCATCACATTCACAAGCATCCCCCACCAACGCTCAGTAACAGCAGTGTTTACATTCTACAAGATGCACTGCAGAAATTCACCAAAGCTCCTCAGACAGCACCTTCCAAACCCACAACCACTTTCATCTAAAAGGACAAGGGGAGTAGATACATGGGAACACCACCACCTTCAAGTTCCCTCCAAGCCACTCACCATCCTGACTTGGAAATGTATCACCATACTTCCACTGTCAATGGATCAAAATCCTGGAATTTCCTCCCTAATGGCTTTATGAGTATATCTATGCCAAATGGACTGCTGTGGTCCAAGAAGGCAGCTCACCACCACCTTCTCAGAGGCAATAGGGATGAGGAATAAATGCTGGCCCAACCACAAATACCCACATTTCATGAATGAATAAAAATAATCCATTATGTTGTCTCATGAAACAATTCCATGAATTTACATAAACATGAAATACTTGCAGAGAATATTAAAAGTACACAGCTGGACTGGCAGCATCTGTGAAGAGAGAAACACATTTCAGGTTAATACTACTCACTGTTGCCCTGCCCTTCAGTCTTTTATTGTGTGGTTCAATGCTGCACCACGAGTTTGGGTTCAAGACAGACTGGTTGGGGAAAAAGCAAAGTTACATACCGCCTTCGGGATTATAAATTCAATGTAACATTTTATTATACGTTCACATTAGATATTGCTATATATGGCAAACAAAGTACTCCCAAAGCCACTCCAACAGTGTGTGTGAGGTAATTGGTGCGCTGTTGCCATTCACAGCATTGACTTCTGATTCTAAAAGTCTATAGAGCATATGAATCTCAGATATCTGACCAGAAGAATCAAAAATGCGTGGAAATGCTAACAATAATGATAAATATACCAAGCTAATTTACTCTTTTTGAATGTTCGTGTGCATGTGATCCCAGATATCACTGTACATTAGTGCCATTGGAATGGAAATCTCTTCACAGACGCTTCCTGACCACTTCCAGCACTTCCTGTTTTTATTTTAGATTTCCATCATGTGCAGAGATTTGTTTTTAATTTAATGTCCAGTGTTTAGTCTGCTTTAGGCTTGAGGTGTGATCTCACTCCGCCAACACTGTGCTATTTATGCTTAGTGATGGGCATCGTGGTGACATCCTCACAAGGCTGATCCAGGGACCAGCAGGTACTGTCTATATGAATATTAATAAACTTATATGAATATTAATATGGATATTGGAATATTAAGGAGGGGCCCGCCCCCTCAGCGCGGTGACGCGATGGCGTCGCTGCCTGGCGCTGAGGCCAAGATGGCGGAACGGAGGCAGTCGGTGGTACGGGACGGTTTGCGGGTTTTCATCCTTTGCCTCTGTTGGTACACCGTCAGTTCGGGCGGCAATGTCATCAACAAAGTCATCCTCAACCGGTTCCCGTACCCAGTTACCGTTTCCTTCTTCCACATTCTCTCCATCTGCCTCTTCATGCCGCCGTTGCTCCGCGCCTGGAATGTCGCCCCGGTCGGGGAGCTGCCGCCGCGCTACTTCAGCCGCCTCCTGCTGCCGCTTGCCTTCGGCAAATACTTCGCCTCGGTGTCTGCCCACATCAGCATCTGGAAAGTGCCCGTCTCCTACGCGCACACAGGTAGGAGCCGGGAGTGCGGGGGGCGGGGACGGAGACGGAGACGGAGCATTGGGGAGGGAGGAGTGGGGATAGTTCGAGAGCAGTGAGTCAGGAGTGATGGAGACGGGGTTGCGGGGTGTAGAGAGAGGAGAACGAGGGTAGAGAATGAGAGGGGGCAGTGGGAGGGAACGAGAGGGGGAGAAAAGGAATGGGGGGAGGAGAGAACGAGAGATCCAAGTGACTCGGGAGACTAAGTAGTTGATGGAAATTATTTTAGTAATAAGATTGTACTTGAGAAATTAATGGGGCTAAAAGTTGATATTCTAGTTGATAGAATAAAAGTTGATCGATGATATTCTATGTGCCAGAGTAGATCTGTATAGAGATATTCAGTGCATTGTTACTTATCTTCAAAACTTTTGTAAATCTGGAATGATTCCTGTGAATGGAAGGTAGCAAATGTCACCCCACTATTTAAGAAGGATGCAAGAGAGAAAACTTGGAACTATAAACCTGTTAGCCTTACATCAGTAGTAGCAAAAATGATGGAATCTATTATAGAGGTTGGGATAAATCTGATTGGGCTTAATCGACATATGTTTATGAATGGGAAATTGTGCTTGACAAATTTGTTGGATTTTTGGAAGATGTTACTAACAATACTGATCAAGAAAGAGCAGGTGAGCATAGTATACTTAGATTTTCAGAAGGCTTTTGATGCAGCCCCTCACAGGCTGGTTAGAAAAAAAAGCAAATGGTGTGGGAAGTAGTATATTGGAATGGATTAATGATTGGCTACCAGACAGAAAGCAGGAGGAGTGGGTCATTTTGGCATTGGCAGGCTGACTAATGGGCAACCACAAGGAACAGTACTTGGTCAAGCATTGTGCATGCACTATGGAATGTACTGTTGAAAAATGTGACTTGGGTAGGAGAAAGAGATGTAAAGAGAATTTCTTATATGGTTTTAGTTGGAAAGTGTAGATGTAAGGGACCTAGGTGACCTTGTTGATAAGTCACTGAAGGCTAACATGCAAGTGCACCAAGTTGTTAGGAACGTGGTTGGAATGGTAGCCTTTACAGCAAGAAAATACGAATACAGAAGTAGTGAGGTCTTGCTTCACTTATATGTGAGGTTGGTTAGATGTGAATCTAGAATACTGTGTGCAGTTTTAGATCCCTTGTCTCAGGACAGATCTTATTGTGATTGATGGAGTGCACCCAGCTCCATTCGACCTGTTCCTTGGATGGTGGAACTGTCCTGGTGGGACAGTTTGGCAGACTGTTTGCGTTCTCCAGAGTTTTGAAGAATAAGAGATTATGTCATTTAAACTATAAAATTCTTTCACAGGGTGGAGGCAGGTAAGATCCCCCCCCTCCAAGGCTGAGATAAGGAAAAATTAATTTACTCAGGATTATGAGCATCTGAAATTCTCTACTATGGAAGATAGTGGAAGCTCAGTCTTTTGAGTATGTTTAATGTAGCAATAGATGTCTTACTGCCAGTTGCATACACAGTTGTGAGGCTGGGGAGGGTGAAAAGTGTTCAATCAGCCATTATTCTATTGAATAGTGGGGCAGGCTTGCTGGGGCTAAATAGTCTGTGCCTGTCCTATGTTTCTAAAATGTAATGACTTGATTTAATCTGACATCTCAACCAATTTTTTAAAGTTGAGAGCCTCAGTTTTGGATTCCAGGTACTTTAAGACATCATGAAGTGGTCTAGGAGGTTTGTACTTTCTGTGCCCAAGTATGAGATGTTAAGTTGACTTTTTAAGTTCTCTTTGCTATGTGTTAGGGTTACAATGATGTTGTAGAGCTGAATGGCGTTTTTAATCCATAAACATTGCAGGTAGCTTGAAAGAAAGAGTGACCTGTTGCTCCCTTTAGCCTTCCAAGGTGAGCAGGTAAAAGGGTATGAAGAGGTTCATTGAGGTTTGGACTCTTCAGGTTTTCTGTCATATTCATCTTGCGTTTAGAAATGTCTCGCTTTGACTGGCAACAATACAGAGGAACAAGGAGCTGGGTGAGGAGACTGCTGTCCTCCATGCTGCATTCCTTTCTAATTTTCACCAATTTCTTCCAACACCATCTTGCTTTGTTTTGCTTTTATCTTCAGTCTTGACTCTTGACAGGCCGTTGCAGCAATCCACTAGCATGGTCCATTCTTCAGTTAGCCTAGAGATCAAGTTGGCTATTTAACCTTGTAGGTTAGTACTTCCAGTTTGTTCTAGTCTGACTTGCTTTGTCCAACGAGAGTGGCTGAAATAGCAACCAAGAGAACTTGACCCCATGTCCCTCTTGTTTTGCCTGGGATGCTGAGGCCAATTGTACTACAATTACAGCTGCAACAAACAGTAACTGTTTGGCTAAGAGTTACCCTTGTTGTACCTTTACCCAATAGAGTTTCAGTTCTGCATTTGAGTTTAAATTTGACATCAGACGTTTAAATTAACCCTTTCAATATACCAGCAATTTACATCCATACTGTACTATCGGATACTGTCTTTTAAAGGGGTTTTAACAAAGGCCTTATTTACCTGTTCAGGTGCCTGCCACATGATTACTCAAATAATTCCTTTTGTGCCTTGACCAATAGCAGAAAGGCTTTCTGTCCTTTTTAAAGATATACAATTTAATATTATTCATCCCTCAGCCAAAACCACGGACTGTCATGGCTGTTTGTGAAATTTAATGCGTGCAGTTTGGTTGCTATATTTGCTTGCAAAATAGTGACTATGATTCAGCAATACTTAATTGCCTGTGAAATATTTTGAGTCATGCTAAGATACAACTGTTACATAAATTGCAAGTTATTTTCATTTAAGTCTCCCTGAATACCTCACCTGCATGAAAGTTAGCTTCCTAACTGGCTTGCAACTCAATACCTGGTATTACTGTCTGCGTTTTACCTTGTTGCTAAGACCAGGGACCCCTCCATGTTATTCCGTGGTTTGTCCAAAGATCCAGATCTTCACATTATGTTTTTAATTCCTTCCTCAACATGACAGGTTAGATGTGTGCCCTAGAATTCATTTCCAGTGTCATGTATGTTATGAACTGCAAAAATCCCAGTGACTCCCATTCCTGACGTTGGAGTGACATTTGATGAAATCACAGGTAAATTCTGGTTTTGGATTTTCATGTAATGATTGGTATCTCGAAGAAGGGTTATCGTCTATTATCAAATACCAAGACTCGAGTGATGGGTATTATGATGCTGCAGGTCAATATGGCATGAGGTACAGTATTTTCAAATCCCCACTGCCACTTCAATTTTTAAGCACCCTGTGACTGGTCATGTCAGTGCAGGTTGACAGTTCCTGTAAATCTGTTTGAAATAGAGTTTATTTCTCTCTGTTCCAAATGTAGCTCTCAGAGAAACAGGATTCAAACCAGATTTCCAGTCTGGTTCAAATTAGCTGATCGCTGGTCGGCAGGCTTTAGTGATATATCAGGATTCACTCTTAGTTATCATGCTGTATGTATCCTTTCGTGACATATGTGAAATTGGATAGTGTTCTGATGGAATGCAGTCTTCTCTCTCAGTCCATCAGCTTGTCAACATTTGTTGTTCAAACTGATATGAGTGGACATGTAGCTGAGACTATTTCAGTTAGCTCCATTTGCTGGACATCTGGTGTGTGATTCCAAATAACAACAGCATGGGTTCAGTTCTTGTCTGGCTGATATGTCCTGCCTGGTGGCAAAAATCATGGCAGAAGCTGTCATTCAATGACACAATTAAAGATGTTACCAGAGGAAGGAGGCCGGGCATTGTGACATCTGCTGACATCAATGATGATTTTCAGGAAGCTCCTATCATGTGCCACATACACAATGTACTTCAGTGAATGATTGAACTTTTCCAATAGCTACAATGAAGTGGTCTACCAAAGAAATGTCAGAGCTTTTTTTTTAAAACTTTCTGAAATAAATGTAGATTGCAAGCAGACAATCAGACCCTGTGGTTTTTCTGTTTTATCGTCAAAAACATCTTAAAGGCAAGAGTTGATAAAAGGCCATTTGGCCCATTAGAGTTTATTCCCTCCTAAATTCCTGTCAAAGCTTCTTCCTGTATCCTAACTCCTCATCGGAGACTGATCATCCTATTTACTCCCTTTTTGCTCTGATGTGTTAAATGGCAGATTATTCCACCACCTATTCTCAATCTGACTAACAAAGTTCACCCTAAAAAATTTCATCTTAACACTTTTTAAACGTTCATATCATTCTTACTTCTAAAATAATATTCTGAGATTGTGAAGTACCTTTCTATTGGTAGTTGCTGCACTCTGTACCTTTACACAGTATAGAGTTTAAACAGCTGCTTTGCCTTCAAATGATAAAACTGTTGACTTAGTGTTTAAGCAGTTGAGACATACTTCCCCTTTTTCATCAAGATTTTCAAAAATTGTGAACAAGAAGGATCAACCATAATTTACTGTTTATCGTGCAATTGTTTTACTTGTCGAAAAAAAACCTTTACTGATTGTGATGGGAATGAATAATGTAATTGAAGCTTCATCTTAAGTTCTTTCCTTCGATTATAATTTGTTTTTCACATGCTTTTCACAATTAAGGGACTCACTTACACAACTTGTAATCAGTCAAGATTTGGTTGCTTGCCAGTTAGCATTCACTATTCACAGGACTTGTTCTCTGCCAGTGCAGAACTCTTTTCAACACTTGAGCCATATTTGCACTAACTCCACCCTACAGCCACGTTGTAAAGTTTTACGGTGGTAGGTGCACTTTTGATTTTGGTTTCCCTTCTACCCATCCTCTAATCATACTACTGTGCTGACCTAGAACTATAGCAAGTTTTGGATTGGCTGTGTTTCATTCTGCATGTGTCATTACACTTTCTGTGCATTTACTATCCTTTAGTGTAAGCCTGTCCAATTACAGTGACCAGCCTGGTGATGTCCTTTAGGGCTGTGCGGTTTCTATGAGGAAAAGAACTTGGTGGAGCACCTCCTCCACATTTGTGATCTGTGTTATTCTGGATTATGGGTGAG